CATCTCCATGTATGTGCTCTCTAGGACAGGCAGGAAAAACACTTGAGGGCATTCCACCTCCTCACTTAACCTGAAAGTTTCTCCCTCTGACTCTGAAATCTCATTTACCCCTCAAAGCTCAGCCAAAGCTCTTATCAGTGACAGTGACAGGCCTGATGATGACAGGAGTGCTAAGTTCCAGTCCCAACCCTGCCATGGCTTCACTGTGTGACTTTGAGGAAGTCACTTAATCTGCCCATGGCATTAGAATCCAAACTCCTCACTATGGCCTTACATACATCCCCAAGCTCATCTAGGGCTGTATTTTCTTCCTTCCACTACACTCCAGCCTTACTGACTTTCTGACAGCTCATCAAACTTGATGAGTCCTTTGCATTTGCTGCCCTCACTGCCTGACTCTGCATAGCTGGCACCTTCTCCTTCTTACCTAAAGATACTTCTTCAGAGAAGTCTCCTCTGAACATGCTGTCTAAAGTATAGCCCTGATATTTCTAGCACTTTATATCACTTATCACAACATGCGATAATTTTATTGATTGTCTGGCCTCCCCCTTTACCATATAGGCTCCTTAAAGGCAGGAACTTTGCCATATTATTCAACATTGAGTCACCAGCACCCACTACAGAGCCTAGAACAGAGTAGGCACTTCACAAATATCTACTGGCTAGATGGATGGATGGATGGATGGATGGATGGATGGGTAGAGAGACAGACAGATTGTGTATATTTTTGCCACAGGTATGTATGTCTTTGCCAAAAGACAGCAAATCTATAATGGTAGCAGCTGGCAGGGGATAAGGCATTAAAGGGAAGTGGGTTTCCTGCAAAGGTCCTGGAAAGTAGTTCTCTGAGTTCACAAGCATTACCTAAAGAGGAACCAAAGTAAGCTATTTGGTGCATGATTTTCTTAATAACTCTTGTATAATTCACAGTGTGTTTTTCTGGTTATTAAATTAGGACATATTCACTGGAAAACAGATAAAAACTAAATGAAGAAAATAAATAAGACCAGTACTTCAGCCACCTGGGCATAGGCACTATCAACATTTTAGAAAATATACTTCCAGTCTTTTTTCTAAGCATCTATTACATGTGTTTATAAACATATATACTATAAATAATATTAGGAATAAATTGACATGCTATTTTGTGACCTGTGCTTTTCATTTCTCAATATATTATAAACATTTCCTTGTTTGGTTAAATATTCTGTCATGATTTTTAATGGTTCCTTAGAATAAGTCAGAATCAACTCGACAGCAACAGATTTAGATTTCTTTTTTATTTAGTATTCTATCATTTGAATGCATTTGTTATTGTTGTTGTTGTTGTTGTTAGGTGCCGTCAAGCTGGTTCCAACTCATAGCGACCCTATGTACAACAGAATGAAACACTGCCTGGTCCTGTGCCATCCTCGCACTCGTTGTTATGCTTGAACCCATTGTTGCAGCCACTGTGTCAATCCATCTCATTGAGGGTCTTCCTCTTTCTCGTTGACCTTCCATTCTACCAAGCATGATGTCCTTCTTCAGGGACTGGTCCCCCCTAATAACATGCCCAAAGTATATGAGATGAAGTCTCACCATCCTTGCTTCTAATGAGCACTCTGGCTGTACTTCTTCCAAGACAGATTTGTTTGTTCTTCTGGCAGTCTCTCGTATATTTAACATTCTTCGCCAACACCATAATTCAAAGGCATTCATTCTTCTTCGGTCTTCCTTATTCATTGTCCATTTATTTCATTTCAATTTTTTTGGTCCTTATATCTAAAACTTCAATGGATGTGACTGTTCAGAAATATTAAACATTTCTAACTGCTTTCTTAAAATAAAATCCTAGAAGTGAAATTGCTGGACCACAGAATATGAAAAATTAAAAGGCTTATTAACACACATTGCCTAATTGTCCTCTAAAGATTGTGCTAACTTACCTTCCCACCAGTGCTGATTACCTCATGCCCTAATCAACACTGAGTATAAACTTTGTTTTTAAATCATTGGGCACTTATTTTAATTCTTACTCAAAAAAAGCACACCCACTTTTGCCTGATGCCACAGCCAGAATGTTGGGTAGCACTTTTTAAATGATACTAATAGATACAGACATAACTTTTAATGGGATCTGAGATTCAGTTGCCTCAGTCAACTCCAAGAATGAAGAAGAAGGGTATGGAAGAACTCCAGAAAATAATTCTGGGGATCCAGATAAACTCCTAATTCAATGAAGCCAGGAACTGCTGATGTACTTCTCAGCGTCCAGCATTAGTGAGTTCTCAAATCCAACTCACATGATTCCAAACTCCAGTGCTCCATTTCCTATGTGACCTAAATAGGGTTCTTCATGCCCTTCTAGAAAGCAACCAGCCTGGGAGGTTCATCTGCTCCTCTGGCTAAACACAAACCTCTGATGGCAAATTCATACTAAAACATGGACTTTCTCAGTTCACTAAGAAGTCAGACCACTGTGAAAAGGGCTGGTTATCTTTTATCTGTGCAATTGGTTTAGTTTTTTCATTTTTTTAAATGGGAAATAGGCCATTATTAAATAATAAGATGTAACCACTCCATTTAGATAAGAAATAAAGAGGATGCAGGGCAATGTTCAGCACTGAGCTATATCACACTGCATAGGAAAAAAAACTGCTGCTGAAGATGAAGACCCTCTAGAGTTACTAGCATAGTCACACTTTTTTTTTTTTTTTTTTTTTTTAATTTGTTTAGGGAGAAGGGTTTAACTTGGAAAGTTGTGGCTTTTTTTTTTTTTAAGTTTAAAAAAATCCTTATAAGTTTACGGATTCCAAATCCTAAATCTACAGTAATTCTGTCTATGCATCCCCCTTCTTTTGAATAAACACTGCACAATCTGCTGGATTTCTCTGTGACTTTTTTTTCCCTACTTGTAACTCTGTTTGGAAAGAAAAGAAAAAGGAAATGGGAAAAAAAGCCTTCTGTTTTTCATAATGTCTAATCTTTTTCCCCATTGGCATTCACCAGATGTTGCTTTGGATCGGAAGATAAATATTAAAATCTAAGCAAGAACAAAGCGAGCTGTTTACTGGGCAGATTTTTCAGATGTTCTCTTGAACACTTGAAAAAGACAGGAGATGCTTTGATATGCAGCTGGCTGGAATTCACAATGGAACGGCCCTTCCAAGAAGAGTTATGAGGCCCGGGGCAAAGTCCACTCACCCTACCATCCCTGAAGGCTCCATTGGCCCATTGGCCATCAGTGACGTTACTAGGGTTGGTGTCACTCAGTGCGGTAACTCATAGCGTCACTCCCACACTGGACCTCCTTCCGTACCAGACCATACAGAATCCGTAGTAATGTTTTTTATACTAATGTTACTCGTAAATCATAATTCCCGTACATCACTGAATGTAATGGCTGTAGCAGTGACATAAACAACTAGTAAAATTAAAATTACACCTTTAGAGACTGGAGAAACCCCGAGAGTAGGGCCCCCAGACACCCTTTTAGCTCAGTGGTGAAGTTATCTCAGAGGTTCACCGTTACAGCCTGGGAGTGGACAGCCCCATAAAACCAAATGGGACTAATGAGGTACAGCAGTCCAGTGACAAGGGCCAGAAGGCAGAAGGGGACAAGGAAGCTGGTGATAGGGAACCCAAGGTTGAGTAAGGATATTGTTGATGTGTTGTGAGATTGTTAACCATTGTCATAGGACAACATGTGTAGTAACTGTTAAATGAGAAACGATTTTGTTCTGTAAGCCTTCATCTTAAGTGAGAATAGCAGCACAATTGGAAGAGCGTAGTCAATGTCACTGAACTGTGCATGTAGAAATTTTTGAAACGGTGTATCTTTGGCTATGTGTATTTTCACCAAAACAAAAGGTTGAGAAGTTAGAGGGTTGACATGTTGGGGGTTTGTTAACCAATGTCATAAAACAATATGTGTACTACTGTTTCATGAGAAACTATTTGTTCTGTAAGCTTTCACCTGAAGTACAATTAAAAAAAAATTAAAATTACACCTTTAAATTACAATCTCCTATGCACAGTCTAAGTGTATTTACATTTCCATAGTGTCATGTGGTTAAAGTGAAAATCCAGTAAGAAAACAACAGAATTCCAAGTAAAAACATTTAAGAATTACATCAGAATTATGTTCATTTACCATTACATGAGCTACATTAATGGATTAGGTTTGCATAGTCAATAATGGCCCAAATAATGTAGAAGTTGTAGACAAATGCATATGGAAATATATTCATAGGGAAATAATACCATAAAAGTAAACAGGAACAAAAGCACAAGCATTTCAGCACTTAGTGAACATCTCAACTAAATCAACTTTCCTTTCCTGGCCTTGGAAGCTGCAAACTTGTGAATGACTTCACGCCCGTCGAAATCAATGCCTTTCACCAACTCACTTTTTAATGTGTCACTTTTTTTTAAACCATAATTCAAACTTAAACCCTGAAAATTTCATTAAAGTCAGATATATATTTGTAAGACAGTGATGTTTTTAAAGGAAATTTTAAAAAGACTAAAATTTTAAAAAACTGAATTAAAGACTTAAATTATATTTTTAAACATGTATCAAAAAACAGCAACTATAAAAACAATGGTGGCAACAAAAACAACAGCCTGTGCCTATAGTGCGAGCAGACGAAACCACATGATTCAAAGCATCATTGTAATTGGGTAATAATGACAGGTCTCACTGGAGCTCATTAGAAGGCTCAGAAAGTAAATTACCATAGAGTTTTAGCTTTGTAGGTATATTGATACATGTAAGCTGGGCTTAGGAAAAATGTGTTGTTGTTATAACTAAGTACAGGGATATTTTTATTACAAAATAATAAATTTCTGGTGAAACACTGCACAAAAATTTTACAGTCATTTCAGTGTCACCTCCTCGGACAGTGTTACCCAGTGCAGTCCGCACCCCACCCCTGCCCCCCGTCCCCGCTAGTGATACCACTGTTGGCCATATAATCACGGGCAAGGGTCAGGGACAGGGAGGACAGGGTTACCTGATGAAGAGGCCTAAGAACGATGGAAAGTTTGACTCATTCCAATGATCTGGCTCAAAGAGGTGTTGAGAACATTCTTCACAGATATAGAGGTAAGGCCATGATTTGGGCAGTCTCTCTGTCCCCACAGCTATAGTCAAATCGCACTGCACATAGATGTGGCTGGAGGTTTCACAGCTCTCCTCCTCAGACTTCAGGCCACACAGGAAGGCCAAGGACACTGCAGGAGACGGTCACGATTAGGTTATGTAATAACCACCGAAAGGACTGAAGCCTCACATTGTTTCATAAATGAAGTTCACGTGTTCTCCCTTGGCCAACTGGAAAATGAAGTGAGTTTACTTTTTCAAAAAAATAAGGAGCCCTGGTAGTGCAGTGGTTAAGCACTCGGCTGCTAACCCAAAGGTTGGTGGTTCAAACCTACCTAGTGGCTCTGCAGGAGAAAGACCTGGTGATCTGCTTCCATAAAGACTACAGCCTGGGAAACCCTATGGGGCAGTTCTACTCTGTCACACGAGGTTGCTATTAGTCAGAATCGACTAGATGGCAACAGGTAACAGGGTATCATCTCTATATAATACATACAGAAGACTGTAAGTACCATTTTCTTTAAATCATAAATTATTATAACAGGTTCAAACCCACCCAGAGATGCCTCGAGAAAAAAGTCCTGATTATCTGCTTCCAAAAAGTCACAGGCTTGAAAACCCTATGGAGCAGTTCTACTCTACACACATGGGGTCACCATGAGTCAGCAGTGACTTGACAGCAACTTTTTTTTTTAAATGATCAAACAAACTCGTGTGAGTCCACAGGCCAAAATAAGATCTAAACGCATTGTAATACACTTAAACCTGTGCGCTTCTGCCCAGTTCCATCCCCTCCCTCCTCATGCTCAAAAATAACCACTTGCATTTTTAAAATAGTTTTATCACACGAGTTTATATTCATAAACAAGAAATTATTGAGTTTTGCTTGTTATGGAACTTTATAAATACATGACAATATTCTTGGACCTGCTTTTTCCACTCAACATTATGGTTCCAAGATTTTCCATTATATTGTATATAGCTGTTGTACATAAATTTTCACTTCTGTTCCATATTGCATTGCATGAAAATACTACAATGTATTTTTCTATTCTCTTTCCATTGGGCTTATGGGTATGTCCCAGTTTTTGCTACTACAAACATGTACAAAATTTTCTCTAGGGCATATGCCTATAAAGCAAATTGTTTGTTCATAGGGTGGGTACAAGTTCAACTTTACAAGGTAGTGTCATACTGTTTTCCAAAGTGACTGTCCCATTTTGCACTCCTATCAGCTGTATGGAGCCCTGGTGGTACACTGGTTGAGAGGTGTGGCTGCCAAGCAAAAGGTCAGCAGTTCAAATCCACCAGCCATTCCTTGGAAACTCTATGCGGCAGTTCTACTCTGTCCTATAGAGACACTATGAGTCAGAATTGACTTGAAGGCAATGGGTTTGCTTTATTTTTTTTTTTTAAATTTATCAGCTCTATATGAGTTCCCAATACTCCACATAATTACTAACACTTAGAATTATAAGACTTCTAATTTTTGCCAATCCAAACCCATTGCCATCAAGTCGATTCCAACTCACAGCAACCCTATAGGACAGAGTAGAACTGCCCCATAGCTTTTCCAAGGAGTGCCTGGTGGATTTGAACTGCCAACCTTTTGGTTAGCAGCTGTAGCTCTTAACCACTATACCACCAGGGTTTCCTTTGCCAATCTAGTGTGTATAAAATGGTATATCACTGGCCTTAATTTGCATTTTCATCATTTCTTTTTAGGTTGATCAACTTTTTGTTTATTAATAATTCATGTTTCCTCTCTTATGAAATTCCTATTCTTGTCATTTTCCCATTTTTCTATTGGGCTGTTTGTCTTTTTCTTACTGAGTTGAGCTCTTAATAAATTCTGAGTACTAATCCTACAAAGATTATATGGTTACTAATAGCTTCTCCAAGTTTGTGACTAAGATTTTTACTCTCTTTATGAGAGCTCTTGATTAAGAGAAGTTCTTGATTTTAATATAATTATGACTTAAAATTTTATGAAGAAGAAAAGCAATTATTTGAAGCCCTTTGACAATCAGGCTCTTTCTTTTTGGGTCATGGGACGGTATAAAAAGCATCACCAAGGCAAACTGAAATTAACCTTTAACAAGAAGACAACCCCAGCAAAATACGATTTAGAAGCAGTTCTCTTTGAAACCTTAATAAAGTAAAAACAGACAGAAGAAAAAAATTTCACTAGCCTACTACCTCTGCAGCTAACCTGTCCATACAGGTACACGACAAATGCTATCAAGGGTTCGAAACTAGCTGCCCTGCCTACATCACTGTGCTGTAGAAGACGAAAATGAGATAGCACATGTGAGAGAGTTTGCAGTTAGTCGCTAACACACAAACATTATTATTGCTGAGGTTATATCCCAAAGCATCTGACACCTAATAGTAGATTTTCTGTGAATGCATTTTGAATGAATTATAGCAATAAAAATGATTGACAGCAGGACTTTGATACAGTAAACAAGACATGAGGAGTTTCATGAGACGTTTCCAGTTAGTAAGACATAAGGCAAATAAAAAGTAGGCTCAACACATATAAAATAATAAACTCATTATAGGTGACTGGGTGAATACAAATTGACAAGGTGGATTATGGAAAGTACCTAAGGCGGGAATCAGAATACCTGAGTTTTACTCAAGTTTCTGTGACCTTAATCAATTTAGCTTTTCATGCCTCATGGAAGAGTTAAAGATTCCATGAAAAAAGTCATGTGGTATAATTCCCATAATGTAAGAAATCTGAACATCAAAGACCTTGATGATGTTTAAACAAATACAGAGTATTGCTTTCACCCAACAGGATGATTTAGCAGCCCATCATATTAAAAAAGTAAAATTCTTCTTTTGTTAGAAGTAAAATTTGGGGGAAAAGTAAAGCTAGAAGACACCAAAAGTAGCAAAAGAACTTCTTTAGACCTCTACCTAACACTGTCCCACTCATGAAAAGAAAACACATTGGTACTATGGCACAGGAACAAGCAAAACAATAATTAGGGAAGTTTTCGTTGTAGGCCACCATCTACAACTGGGAGCGTAAAACTTCACTCTCTTTAGTGTATAAAGTCAAATTGAAGAATAAAATTCAAACCAAGGGTCAGAATACAAAGTGACCTTGTGTAAATTAGAGAAGTTAGCAGACATAAACAAAAGACAAAAATTAAATGGTAAGGCAGTGAACTATAGAAGAAAACAGAAATCAGGTAAATATAAAATGAGGACAGTCCAGTTATGCACAGCCATGTAAGGAAAACACACACACACACCTTGGAATAACAGTAGGTAACAGAAAGATTATAAACCAGCAAAACAGCAATGTAAAACAATATGGTACCAGATTACATGCACGGGTACTTTACGATACTACTCAATATGGCCAGAACTTGCTTATACAGAGGAGCTACCTAGCTTGGGCGGCAAACTAGGGGAAAAAAATGTAGGAATTCAGAAAGGGCTCAGAGGAGAAATACCTACCAAAATGTTTTCTTGTTGTACAGTTTCTGATTCAGCGGGTCTCGAGAATTTGCATTTCTAACAAATTCACAGATGATGATAATGCTGCCTTAGAGGAACTGAGATTATTCAACTTTCTAAAGGGCTAACCCAAACTAAACCCACTGCCATCAAGTCAAATCCAACTCATAGCCACCCTATAAGACAGAGTAGAACTGCCCCAAAGCTTCCAAGAAGCGGCTGGTGGATTTGAACTGCCAACCTTTTGGTTAGCAGCTGTAGCTCTTAACCTCTATGCCACCAGGGTTTCCCCTGAAGGGCTCCCAGCTGGTTTCTCTCGCCTTCACTAAAATGGGGTAGCATCAGTTAGGTAGAAAATGGATTTCTCAGAATGGCAACTGTTAAACACTTGTAAGGGTTGCTGCTATGAAATTCTCCTCTGAAACAATCTTTTAAAATAGAGCACATTCTTAACTATGTAGGTTATCAGCAGTCCTATCTAAAAGTGGAGAAATTATTAGTAACTTCTAATAATTTCTGAGACACACTCCTTTGATTATTTGATGTACGTTATGGACCTACCTCCTAGAGAAAAACACACAATCATATAGTCAAAATGTTTTGTTCAGGTTCAGGTGGTTGATAGGATGCCTAAATGCCGCCCTGGATCTTAAATTAAGAATCCTCTGGAGTTGGCGATCCCAGTTCCTCTTCATCTTTAGACACTGTGATTAAAAGTCTTTAGAAAGACTTTTTTTATGAAAGAAGAGAATAATTCAAATTATCCATTTCCCTAGAGTGAGTTTCCTTGCACAGTCAATGAGTGTTTGGTGACACCTAGTGGTAATGTTAAAAGTTACAGCTTCCAACTCATTTTCCTCTTAAAACATTAAGAAATTTTGAGAAATCCTTTTCTAAAACTTAATCAAATCTTTTAAAATACAATAATTTCTATTGTTCTTCCCTGAAGCTACCAAAATACCACAATTTACCTGCCCCTGAATCTCACTGATTTTTATTTTGTACTTCTAGTAGAAATTACAATGTCTTGAAATGATACCAACCAGTTGCCATCAAGTCGATTCCGATTCATAGTGATCCTATAGGACAGAGTAGAACTGCCCCATGGTGTTTCCAAGACTGTAAATTGTTATGGAAGGAGACTACCACATCTTTCTCCCGTGAAGCGGCTGGTGAGTTTGAATCGCCAACCTTTCTTTTTGGTCAGCAGCCGTGAGCTTACCCACTGCAAAATAACACCAAGGAGCTTTAAAAAGTTTATTAATTTAATCAATGTATATGTGAAAGATTAAACATAAAATCTAAGTGTAGCAGTATTAGTTAAAGATTAGAACCCAGAAATGTGGAGGCTTCATGTTCTGTTTCCACTCTTGTCCAATTCCTTTATTTATTCCTTCACCAAACTTTAATTCTGCACCTGCCCTGGGCCAGCACTGCTCTATGCACTGAGGTAGAGTGGTGAAGGAAACAGTTGCCATCAAGTGGATTCTGACTCATGGTAGCCCTATATGTGCAGAGTAGAACTGCACCCCATAGGGATTTCAAGGCTGTGATCTTTCGGAAGCAGATTGCTAGGCCTGTCTTCCAAGACACCTCTGGGTGGGTTTGAACTGGCAGCCTTTCAGCTAGTAGTCGAGCATTTAACTGCTGGAATGAAACAGACAATGGCTTAAACATAAACTTCAATCTTCATGGATCTTAGGTTTTCTGTTGTAGAATCTTATGGATCAATCTCCCTTCCATAATGTTCTCCTTATATACATAATGATAATAAACCCATTGCCTTCCAGTTGATTCTGACTCACAGCAACCCTAAAGGACAGAGAAGAACTGCCCCATAGAGTTTCCAAGGAGCCCCGGGTAGATTCGAATTGCCAACCTTTTAGTTAGCAGCCGTAGCTCTTAACCACTACGCCACCAGGGTTTCCATGATAACAGGAAACTCAATTTCTTGTATTTTAAACAAGGATTAGTTTTTCTTTTTCTTGTCTAAGAAAACACAGTGTAAACTGCCATCATGATAGTATTATCCATCATAGAATTATTGTCCAAGCTCAGATGAAATGAAATTTGTATCACCTTGTAAATTCTTAGCCTATGCTCACATTTCAGACAAATTAGGAATATAATTTAAAGCACTACACAGAAGGCATGTGTAGAAAATGTTTCTAAGTGCACACTTACAAAATCTTATTATGCAAACAAGATAATTACCCGGCTAAGCTGGTCCTGCAGTAATAATGGTCATCTCTTCCCTCTGACTTCTTTTTAAGCTCAATGAGTAATTGCCATGTGGCTTGACGCCTTAACATGAGAATATCAATGCTTTGTACCTTTCTAACCTCTCCATTCCACAAAGACACATCTTCCAGTACCACAATTAACGTGATGGTACACAGCTTAAAATTTTGAGTGATCATGGCGTTTTACTGAGTAAGGGATCAGGTAATTACACGGACAATTACAGAATAAGAGGATAATGGTTAACATTGATTCTTTTGCCTATAATAAGAATTCAAAAAACTGAGCACACAACATCAACATTCCAGAAAAGCCCACCTTGATAGTCTCCATCACTTTATTAGTACCTCCAATAAGCAGACATCTTCAGCAGCCTCGCCTCTGAACAAGGCTAGGAGGTGGTTTCCTCCATGATGCCTAGCGATGTCACTGAAACTAATATTCAGAACTCAGAATGTTCTCTCCAACATCGCATGACTGCAGTCAAGAACACTGATAATAAATTTTTAGTTGTTTATTTAAAATTGACCCATTATTATGACAAAAGTTACTATAGAAGCATTTTAATAGGTGTCCCGAGCTTGGCTGCTAACCAAAAGGACAGCAGTTCAAATCCACCAGCCACTCCTTGGAAGCCCTATGGGGTAGTTCTACTCTGTCCTATAAGGTCGCTATGAGTCAGAATCAACTCAGCGGCAATGGGTTTGGTTTTTTTATATTCTAACTACCATTTTTGATGGGATTAGAGAAATTCTTTTCCCAGGAACTCATAGAAAACCAGTGGTCAGTACAGAGTTAATTACAAAAATGGAGTTAACCAAAAAAATATCTCGTATATATGCTTAAAAAAAAAAAAAAAACCCTGCATTTGTACCGACCATCCAGTGGTAGAACCAAGCAGCTGAAGGCAGACATTGTAGCATTATCCAAGACTTGGCAGGGAGCACCACACACAGCAGCTGAGATGTTCCCTGGAGAAAATCCTGCTCCAAACACATGCACGAGCCTTCCACCCAGGCAGCCTTTAAAGACAAAACTATACGTTCATGATCATGGAGGCAAAGCTTGCTTGCTTTCTTTAACTCAAAATTCAAACCTTTGCTTTCTTATTGCCCATCCTTCTCTCTATGCCCTCCGGAACACACACAACTGGCTTTATGTCCCTGGTAACCTCAGTTTCATCTCCACCGAAGCTCTGGCCTCAAGAATCTGGAGTCTGTTCTGTCAGAACAAAATCATTTTCAATAACCTATTATATTAATAGGGTTTTTTAAACACACCAATTTTTATATAGAAATGTAATATGTATAGTTCTGAAATTTTTTATACAAAAGAATATAAAGTTCCCCCAACCACCTACCTCACTCCTCACAGGTAGCCACTTATAAAGTTTCTTGAGAATCCTTCCAGAATTTTCTAAGGATGAGGTTTTTTTTTTTTAATACAACAGGATCATTCTATACATATTATTCTGCAATCTATTTGTTTTACTTAAAAGTATACTTTAAACATTTTTCCAAATCTATACATCTAGATCTAGCTCATTTTGTAGCTACTTAGAATTCCATTACATGATTACGACACAATTTTTTTAGCAATTGCTCTGTTGATGGATACTTCAATTATTTATCCTTTTTTGCTAAAATTAACAGTGTTGCAATGAATTGCAGGTATTTTAGGAACATATTTTGTACATGTTTTGCAGTACATAGTTTGTTACAAATTACGAATTCTTAAAAGTGGAACTGCTCAGTCAAAGGAAAAGTGAATTTTTTATTTTGGTGGATACTGCCAAATGTCCTCAAAACAATGCTGCTCCAGTTTACTCGCCCACCAGCACTGCATGAGGGCACCTGTCTCTGATGGGTAAAAGCATGACAATCCTTCAGAGGCACTGAAGCAAGTGCCATGTTGTGCTCCAGTCTGAGAACCAACAAAGGGAAATGTTGTTTGAGCCCCACACTCGCCTGGAATCCCAGACACGTGGAAGTCTCTAGTCCAGAGTTCCAGGTGTCTACTGGCTTCATGTCATCTCTACATGTTACTTGCACAGCCACCTGACAAGCTCAAGAATAACACTTTTGGCATAGGGTGCATTTTATACCTCTGCTCTGCACCATAAAAGTCATGGCCCTTAGAGAGTAAGAAGAGCACTTGAGGAACCACCTGGTCCAAACCCGTTTATCAAATAAGGAACCTGAGCCTCATACAGGCAGCGTAGTCTAAGTTACCCAGCTAAGTGAGTGACAGACACAGGACCCAAATCCCATCTCTACAACATTCCATACAGCTGAGGCCGGAGAAATGTATTCTAAGAAGTGGCTTGGCTAGTACCTCATCAGTCTAAGATTCTGCTTCCATAATTTCCTCTATGTTTTCTATGTCATGTTTAGGTTTGAGGTACCCCAAGTATAAGGCTTTAAGTGAACAGAAACCAAAACTATTATTGGAAGAAAAGGTAAGGCACATTTCAGTACTTCCAAAAGGAAAGGAAAGTTCAACAAATGCAATGGCACTATGCCATAGGCTTATTATTGGTAAAGTACGAGTTCATCAGCGAAATATTACAAACTGATAAAAATTAACTAAAGTCAGTCCCTGGGCTATGAACGAGGTCTGTCCGGAGTGTGCCTTTAAGAATGTGTAGGTAAACTGGAGCAGGTGCACGCGGTGTTCATTTAGCCTTACTTTAGTGCAAGAAAAGGCTTGAAGCCTTTTCAATGATTTAAAAGCTGCATGTGCAGCAGGTGAAGGTGATTGTGATGAAGAATTTGTTGCGAGTAGAGGTTGGTTCAGTCGTTTTAAAGTGAGAGCAAATTTACAGAACATTAAAGATCAAGACGAGCTGTCCATAAGTCAGACATTCGTAACCCAGGGACTGCCTGTGTATTTCATAGGTTTAAAATAATGCAAATTGATGTATTTGGTCTAAAAATAGGTGAAAGCATTTATATTCTACTTAAATGATCAAATGGTGAGCTTGCACGTGTTATTATTTAAGTTAAAACAAATTAAGTCAAGTTAATGCATCAAATTAAAATATCATCAAATACTTGGAGAATATACACAGTTTCCCTGATAAAAGAACAATCAAAGCCTTGTACGTGGAGAATGGAAAAGACAAGTCTCAAAAAAAGACAAGAAACCGGGATGGTAAGAGACCAACTGTTCTTCTCTCTCCTTCTAGCTTTCAGATTAATGTTGATTTCCTACCTCTTAGAAGTGCGAGTAGCTTTTAATCCACTTACATAAAGAAAGCACTCTGTCTTCTTTGCCTGACTTACTGTTATGAATTGCACTGGGTCCCCAAAAAGACATGTTGAAGTCCTACCCCCTGTACTTGTGAACGTGACCTTGTTGGGGAAATAGGGTTTTTCTTTGAAGATGTTATCAGGTAAATTAATGACATTACTCTAGAGTACGGTGGGTCCTAATTCTATATAATTAGTGTCTTATAAAAAGAGGGGGACAGACAGGAAAACAGAGGCAAACACAGGGGGAAACAGCATATGAGGATCTGTCTACAAGCCAGGAAAAGCCCGGGGCTGCCAGAAGCTGAAAGAGACAAGGAAGGATCTTCCTCCAGAAGGACATACAGAAGGCATAGCCTTGTGGACACCCTGGATTCAGACCTCTAGCCTTAAGAACTGTGAGAAAATGAATTTCTGTTCTTTAAAGCCACTCACTTGTATTTTTCTTACGCAGCACTAGGACACTAAGATACTTACCAAAGTTCTCAGTCACTGCAGTAACAGTAACCCTTGATGTGAACACTAGAACAGAAGAAGCCCACCCTCTCAGGCGGTCGTAACCTCTGACTCGGTACTCCCCAGCAGGAAGGGAGGGGACACTGCACTGGAGAACAGTGTGGTTTCCAGAGACACCCACACAGGATGACATCCCAATAAAAATGTCAACATGCACAGCTCCTGTGATCTGGGCCACCACAAAGGTTAAGACATCATCAGTCTGAGAAATAGAGAGCAATTCTGGGGTGAAGGCTTTGTTGTAACCAATGACTCCCATGTGGTACAAATGTCCATCCACCTCTATTTCCAGGGCAACGGAGCCATTGCCTGCAGGGACAATACACTGGATGAGCTTGGCACTGATGTTCACAGAAAGGCAGGCCTGCTGGCCCACACGGACTGATGTGGCATTCTGTCCTCTCAGGGCCGTGCCCTGCATGGTCAAGAGGCCCCCACCATGTAAGCTGAAGGTCTTAGGGAAGTAATGAAACACTTGAGGAGAAATGTAGAAGTGTCTGGAAACATTTCTCAAACAAGCATACCCATTTCTCTTATGAAATACCGACAGGTAGTGCAGACCTGGGGTCAGGTCACTAACCTGGCATGCCACCTGGCTTGCATTAAAGAAAGTTACACCACAAGAAATATGATCATCCACAAACACGATCAGCTCATCCGCTGTGGTGCCGAACCTCTGCCCCCTAATCAGCACAGTGGTCAGAGACCCACTGATGTTAGTGGCCAAGGCATCCACAGTGGGAGTTGTCTCTTCCTGCATGAAGAGAGTACAGTTCCCCTGACACTCGCTGGTTAGCCCGTTGACCAGGACTGTGATGTTCACAGTGAAGGAAGCTCCAGGCAAGGGGTCACCCACACGGTTAACTTGGCAGAGGATTATCTGGTCACTCAAACTCAAAATGGCACAAGTAAAAGGGCCTGAGAGGCCAACCTGAACTGACATCCTTCTAGACCTGAGCGCTAAGCCTCTCACAGTGAGTACTGTCCCACCACAAGCAGAACCTTTTGTAGGGAAGATGGCCATTATCTGAGGTACCACCACAAATTGCTGTGGCACTGCAGACATATTAGCAAATCCCATCTGCTTCTGACGGACTTGGAGAGGATAGACGCCCGCCTCCAAACTGCGAAGAGGAAAGGAGCACCCAGACAGGCTCGTGTTGCTCCCAAAAGATCGTGCCTCAAGGTCACAGTGCAAGGTCCCCAGGAGAATCACTGAGTTGGAGATGTTATTTCCTTCCACAGAGAGCCACAGGCTGCTGTTCATGGTTTCTGCTCTCAGGGCGGTGACCACAGGTGTTGCTGCTGCTTCATACAGGAAGGTGAAGCCCTTCTCCACTAAGCCTGGTGGTGGTCTGTGGGGCAAGGACATGTTGCCTATCCAGACCTGCACAGGGGCCAGGACAGCGAGCACGTCCGCATCAGGCAGCAGAGGTGCTGGCGAGGTCTCACACCAGATGTTCTCCTCCGTCGAGTTCACGACGTCACAGGATCGATTGCCCACAACTACCCAGACCAAGGCTGGGTCCTGGCTGAACCCTATTCCTGAAATGCTGAGGATGGTTCCACCTAAAGCATGAATAGCAAAAGCAAAATTTAAAACTGATATTCAGAATCAGGAACTCACAGCACCTGTGAAAGTCCCTGTGAAAATGGGAGGTGGGGTCAGTGCTAGGGAGACCTCAATTATTTCAGCTCACCCCACCAACGTCAAATCTGTGATCATTTTACGGGAGCCATGTGGGCCGAAACTCACATAAATAATATAAATTGCTATATGGACAGGATGTTTAAAGTATGTAAGACAAACTTTTCAATTATCTTTGTATATCCTGGAAGCCCCCCAATTCTATTCAATTTATATACACTAATGAAAAATCAAAATCCTTGAAGTCTTCTAATCATTTGCTATATTATCTGACAGATTATTCTATATAGTATATGTATATTATCCTATATATATTCAACTTATGATTAATGAAAAATCAAATTCCTTGAAATATGTTACATTATTCTATATATTAGAATATATTACAGAATATGCAGACTATATATGACATATACAGCATATCAAGAGTCATTGAATCATGCCTGTGAATTTCCTGCTGTATCCATAGACTTTGTCTTGCTCTCTAGTCAAGGAACATCTCAAACCCCATCTTCAGGAGAGAGGTTGGATTAATTTAACCTACAACATAACCAAGTCTGTGATAAGCCAAGCATCTTTTAAAAAGGGCTTTATTAGACTCAAAAAGGATGATGTACTTTTTACACACTATCTCAATGATCATTCAAATGCAAATAAATAGCTTTGGCTTATTTCTGAAAATTAGTGGTTTTAGAGATTTCTCTATTTATCGTGCCCTCACACTTCCCATATTGGTATTCATGTTTCTGACTATTTCTGGGCCATTCATCTGCATCCCTAGAAGACAGTGAAGACACCAGAGACTCGTTCCTCCTCTCCTCACACAGGCAGTATCTAAAAGGCTAATGCAGGAAACGCTTCCCTTGTTTTTCTAATATCCGCTGGAGATGTGCTACCCATTAGATATTTCAGCCTCTTTCCATCAGGAAAAGGAAAACCAGGCGCATCTCTTTTTCATAAAAATTCTTTAATTTCCTGAGCTTACTGAGCTAAGGAATCAGCAAGTGTTCACACCCTTCAAAGTGCACCACTGAGTTCGCAGATCATAAGGAAGTTTACTCTCTCCTGCGCCTGGGTTAATTAACCCAGAAACAAAGTCTGAATGTCTCCTGTACAGATTCCCTGGATAAATGATGTCAGCCACGTCAGAGCCACTCACCCAAAAGGGATCCGAAGCAAGGCTCTATGTCAAATACTTCTGTGAGGTACTGAATGTGGAGATCAACCCTATGAGAAAGAGAGGGGTCCTTCTGAAATAACCGAGTTAGAAAAAAAGGATGAGGAAAACAGAAGAGATGGATGTATTTTAGGGAGAAGAAAAGAGAGAGGTGGACGTGACGTAAAGCAAATGTGAACGATACTACCTAACAGAGAAGAAAGGAAACGGTGGGGAAAAAATACTGTGTGGTGCCTGTCCTGGGCCAGTATCACCCGATGACATCAGTCCCATACAGCTTAGCTACCTTCTGAATGAGGAGAATTTTTGGAAAACTACTAGGCACAGGGCCCTCAAGGCAGAGTGGGAGATGGGTGAGGAAGAGGAGATGGCTTGTGCAGTAATTACAAACCGTTTATTCATAGCCCATGACAGAATAAAAGGTCTAGAACACAGACTCTTCCCCTTTTCACATATACATGCCCACCCCACCTGCACTCCAAGAGCCACGAAATCTTAGTTCCAGGAAGTTTCCTTTTCCCCAGGTAGTAAGCCGCTGGGCCTGGATCATCTTGGAAGTGAACTGGCCTACGGAGTCTCTAAGATTTGTTCAAATTTTATGACTTTCATACGTATACCCTAACTTAAAGATTTAACTCAATATCTGGAATTCCAGTGGAATCACTAGACCATCCATAGGCCTAAAATGGCAAGCGTCCACCTCACCCTTGTGAGCGAATGCCGACCCCATTGATGGAAACTGAAATTCTGTGGAGGCCAGTCGGCATGGGGGGCAGCACCACCTCCAGGCCCTGAGCTGTCTGCGCATGAAGCTGAGCCCAGGTGTCCTGGATGAGGACTTCCACATCCAACTCTGTGTAGTTCTCCAGCAGCGTCATTCCAATGAAAAGGGTGTCACCTCCTGTGTGTAGAAGAATCCATTAGCCTCTGTGATGTGGGCCTGTGACCTCAACCACCTATTCAATTCTAAAACTGTGTCTTATATGATTAGATACAAGCTAAGCCCTATGCATAATCTAATTCAGAGTTTTAATGCCAACTTTTTTTTCATGAAACTCTGAAAACTATTTTAACAGAGCTATAGCCTATAACCTCAAGGACATCAAGAGCAAAACTGTCAGAGCAAGTTTAGTCAAGGGACAGTAAATTATTTTCCTGCAAAGGCAAATCAAGAAGTATTCTGGAAGATTGGGGGTCTTCATAACCAACAAATAGCACCCCATGTCCTCTTTCTTGTCCTCCTCTTTCTACTGTTAAAAACCTAAAGCTGTACCTTCAGTGTACACTGAACCTTATAATAACGCCATTTTTGACTACAGTAAACAAGCCCCTGGTGGCACAGTGGTTAAAGCATTCAGCTGCTAACTGAAAGGTTGGTGGTTTGAACCCACCAGCCATCCTGCAGGAGAAAGGTGTGGCAGTCTGCTTCCATAAATATTTAAAGCCTCGGAAACCCTACAGGGCAGCTCTACTCTGTCCAGGCTCTCTATGAGCCAGCATCAACTCGACAGCAGTGGGTTTGTTTGTTTATTATTTATTTATTGGGGGAGGTGAATAGAGTCATTCACAGCTTACAGAGCATTTTCACATGTTATCCCATTTGATCCTCACTCTATCTTGATGGCCTGTATGGGGCAAACAGTAGCACTGGCCTTTTGCTTTTGAGTAAACTAAGGCTACATAGCCAAGGCCTCAGAGTTAATTAACAGAAAAGTCAAGGCCTGAGCCTAGTCTTATGTCTCCTACTTCAATTCCTTTTTAGTTTAATTGTCCACTGTACTAAATTGCCATGTATACTATAGACCTTAGGAAGAAAGTCCTGGCAATCTATTTTTGAAAAATCAGCCAATAAAAACCCTATGGATCACCACGATCCAGTCCTGCTGTACACTGGGTCACCAGGAGTCAGGGGCTGATTCAACAGCAGCTAACAACATACTTTGGACATTGTTAATTCAATTCCTTTTAACTCAGATACTTATTGTGTACCGTGAATAAGATGCTGCAAGAGGCACAAAAATTAGTGAAACAGAGACTCTGCCTTCAAAGGTGGTAAAATAGCTGCCCAAATAACCTTAGTTCAAGTTCCCCAAAACCAAACCCACTGCCATCGAGTCAAATTCCGACTCATAGCGACCCAATAGGACACAGTAGAGCTGTCCCATATGGTTTCCATGGCTGTAATCTTTAAGGAAGCAGACTGCCACATCTTTCCCCGAGGAGTGGCTGGTGAGTTCAAACCGCCGACTGCCGACCTTTCAATTAGCAGCCAAGTTTTTACCCACTTTCCCGCTAGGGCTCCTTAGTTCAAGTTACATACCATAAAAAGGGTGCAAAGTAAGTAGTGGGGTTGTTCAAATTAAAGTAATATTCTGGATATCAGGAAAGGCCTTATAGATAAGATGGTGCTGGAAATATTCAATTTGAAAGATAAATCCCAAAAGGAAGAGAAAGAGAAGAGGGAACTCACAATTCAATTCTCAATACAGTTTTACCCAAAGTCTTTTGTAGCATTTTCTCATTTAATCATCTAGTGGCTTGGAAGGAAGAAAAGGAAACTGGGTGACTTGCTGGAAGACAAGGGACATGTATAAACACGTGGGAACCCTACAGGGGCAGAAGCAGGACAAGTTGATGGTGGTTCAATGGCTGAGGACTAAGAAAATTAAACCAGAGGGGCCTTGACTTAATTCAGTGGACAGTGGAGACCACCAGAGGTTTCTAAGCAAGGGAAGGATCTGGTTGAAGCTATTCTTCCCGTCTATAAGACAAGCTGAAGAGAATAAAGGAAATCCAGTCTGCAGTCACCTGGAGTCTGAATGAGGACTGTCAAGTATGCAATAGCAGAAGCAGAAGTAGGTATACTTACCTTTCCTGTGTCTCAGCGTGCACTGAGACACAGGTTGGGCTAAAGAATCTCTAAAGCTCTTTTAACCACTGTTGTTGTTGTGTGCCTTCGAGTCAATTCTAACTCACAGCCACTGCATATGACAGAGTAGAACTGCCCCCATAGACTTCCCTAAACTCTAATCTTTACGGGAGCAGATCACCAGGTCTTTTTTCCCGTGGAGACGCTGGTGGGTTGCAAATACTGAGCTTTCAGTTAACAGCTGGGTGCTTAACAAGTCCTCCACCAGGGCTCCTTTTAACCACTAATATTTGAGAACTCTTTCAGGGCTGGCGTCTATAAGACAGCGCAGCCAATGAAGAGGAGAAAGAGGTTGCTTGAAAGAGAAAATTTAAAGAGGATTATAGTGCGGTGGGAAGACTGTGGATCTGCATTCAAATCCTTGATCTGCTATTAAGTACCCATATGACTTCAGGTGACTCACTTTGGGCTCACAAAGCCTTGGAGTTTTCAGCAATAAGACAGTAATAAAGCCCACCTTACCTCATACTATCGGTTGTAAGGATTAACTTAGATACCATGGGAAAGCATCTGGGACAGTACGGGACATAAAACAGCCACAATTAACTCCATTTTCTTCCTCTTTCCACGTGGTCCTTACTTTATCAGGGGTTTTCCATCTTGTTTCTACTCAGAAGTCTGAAGCCTCTGTATCTGCCAGAACGGTGGCATTCACTTCAACATAGCATTTTTATTGAGTGCTTACTCCATGCCAGAGTTGCACCTGGGTGGTGCAAACAGTTAATGAGCTCAGCTGCTAACCAGAAGGTTGGAGGTTTGAGTCCACCCAGAGGTGCCTCAGAAGAAAGGCCTGGAGATCGACTTCCTAAAAATCAGTCATTGAAAAACCTATGAGGCACATTTCTACTTTGACACACATGGGGTCACCATGAGTCAGGGTTGACTCTATGGCAACTGGTTTGGTTACTCCATGCCAGTTCCTGAGCTAGATACTTTCACCTGCATTTTTCACAATAAACTTGAAAGAATTATTCCCACCTACAAATAGAGAAACTGAAGATAAAGGAAGTTCTTGCCCAAAAGATATCTTGCCCAAGAAGAGATTAAGCTAGGATTCATTCACATTCAGCTCTGTTCGACAGCGAAGACCACGCTAATGGCCCTGCACATCAAATTCTTCCTCCCCTTCCTCCTCCTCCTTTCTCCACATTCGTCTTGGTTGCGTTATCATTATCAGAGTCATTTTGTGAATGGAGATGTACAGCACCACAGCTCAGAAAAGACTTTTCCCAGTAGGCTACCATCCTTCGTGGATTTTATAGCGTGTTCTTCTTTATTCTGCCCGTAGAAAGATTTAAATACAAGCGTAAACTCTGAAAATAATGTATCAGGTTGTATACATCAATAACATGAACTCTTTAGACTCTTGGTCAATTGTCAATTTAATACTGGATGCCTTTGAGGCACTGGTGCAATGTATTTATTCTTTTTATTATAGGTAGAAAATTTTATTAAAAGCCAAAATCACTGAATTCTGAATAGAACGTGGACCTTCCTCCTCCCATTGCTACCTCTTTTGGAAGAATCTATACCACCAAGGAATTTTACATACTTTGGTCGCCTGAGGCAGCAAATTCTTCTTCTGCACTATCCAATTTGAATAATATTGAGAAGCTAAAGGACACTTCCCTTTATTTATGAACTCTTGAGCAATAGAAAATGAAAACAGTACCAAAAAAATTGAGGCCAGGCTTTTTCTTTGGGAAATATGGTGGTCTTTTAAAATAAACCCTTACCTATGGCTGCCATAAACTCTCTGTTATCTGGCATTCAATTAACCAGAAAGGTGTGTTGCCTGCTACTTTTCCAAATCTATATGCTATGACATAATAAATTGTTGTAATTCCATCTTGGCATATCATCTGAACCATCAAAGAAATGTTATTTCCTGTAGTTTGGTACTAAATAATCCATTCTTTTTATACATCATATGTTTCAAAGAATAAAAATCCTTGGTTAATTGGAACACTTTATCCTCTACTCAAATCAAATTTTAGAAAAAGTATTTTACAATTAACTGTAAGTGGCTAATTGCTTAGGATCTGCAACCAGACTGCTTGGGTTCAAATCCCAGCTCTGCTACTTACTAAAGGCAGAATCTTAGGCAAGTTATTTATTCTTTGTTTTCAGTTTCCTCATCTGTAAAATGGGGCTAACAATCCTATAAATTTCTAACAAGGATTAAATTAAAGTCTACAACATGTCTACGCTATTAATATTGACACATCTCAGAAAACCAAACCTACTGCCATCGAACGGCTTCTGAGTCATAGCAACCCCACTGGGTTTCTGAGGCTGTAAATCTCTACAGAAGCAGACTGCCACATCTTTTTCCCGCAGAGCTGCTGGTGGTTTTGAACCACCAACCTTTCAGTTAGCAGTCGATTGCTTTAACCACTGTGCCACCAGGTCTCCTTAATATTGGCACATAGTAGGTACTTAATAAATATTTATTGAATTTAATATTACTTATGATTTCTCACATCATTTTCATGATGGAAGCGACCCCAATTTTACAGAGGGAGAAACACATGTAAGGAGACTGACTCAATGATGGCTAAAATGAGAAAACTGGTCTTCTGCTTTTCAGGGAAAAAAAAAAAAACTTCCATCCAAATTACAATACTATCTTCAATAAAATCCATAGGCTACTGCGTGCCTTTTTTATAGGATCAATGCTCTAAAACAAAAGTCCTGCAAGGTCACGTAATTTTACCTGCTAAATTGCTTCTGTTCCTGCTCAGAGACAGGATCACTGGATTGAAAGAGGAGACGTATGTAAATGCTGCGGGAAGAACTGCAGAATGGTCCCCTCTGATCACAGTCACATTCACAATGGATTCATCGTTTCCCTGAAAATCAATTTTTTAAAATCGAACTCAGTAAATAAGACTGACTTGAAGGAAGAAGAGAAGTTCAAATCAAATTTGTTTAAAAGGTTAATTTCAAGACAATTGTTTTTAAAGGGTATATTTGCTACTTTCAAGTATCTCACTCACAC